ATGCCCGTGTGTCTCTGCAAACGTCTTTCGTAAACTGTCCGTGTCCAGATGAACAGGAAACTGCCAAAATTTCTCAAGATGCAGGACCCCATTTATCTGCACCCCAACATCTGAACCCCATCAGAGAGGGGTAATGAGACCCATTCTAAGGCAAAAGGAACGCAGGGTAGAGGTGAAGGCTCAGATGACAGCAACTACAGACGGTAGCCCACTCAGTCAGACCCAAAACTTCAAGACCATTGTAAACCGGGGCCTCCCTGGTGGCGCAGGGGTTAAGCCTCAGTGCCATGAAGCTACCACCAGCCACACGGCCTGAGCTTGACCTGAGTTCGATCCCCAGCAAGGGAGCTGACCCACAATGTACAGCAGACCTCTCCTTCTTTGCCTGCTGCTCCCCTCAACGCTGCATTTCAGTCAGTCCCCCTATTCTGCTCCCCACTGTCTATGTGAACCCTCTCCCCCTTCCTCCTGCCCTTGCACCTCTGTCCTATACCACAGTTCTTATATGCAGAAGTGAATAAAAAGTAAACCTTTAAAAAAATAAACCGAAGTGAAAGGCAAAAACCCTAGGGGAAAAAACACTTTGTGATTTATAGCAAGTAGCTTTGGGAGAACTTTACAGTAAATCCAACAGGTGGAACTAGCAGTGAGGCGGCTGCCACAGCCAGCACTTCCCCCAGTGCTTTTTGGGGCTGTGCATCCGGCTGCACATGGACAGTGTAGGCTGAGCTCAGGAGGACGCTAAGAACAAAAAGGAAATGGAAAACCACGCATAACGAATCACATTTGGAGAGAAAAGTGTCTTTATGGATAAATTCAAGATTAGCAGAAATTTGCCAGAACTAGGCAGACTGAGTATGTCCCACACATGTACTTTAAAAAAAAAAAAAGATTTATTTATTTATTTATACAGAATTGGGGTATAGGCCAAGGATGAGGAGGGTGACAGGCTTCCCCAGAGACAGAGTGGGGAGCAGACCAGGCCGATGTACTGAGATACACTGCTGAGGGGAGCAGTGGGCAGGCCAGGAGAGGTCTGCCGCGCCCTGTGGATCTCCTCCTGGATCTCCTCCGGGGCAGGCGGGGATCAAACTCATGCGGAAGTGGCTTAAGCTTCTTAGTGCTGTGCTTTAACCCGCTGCGCCACCAGGAAGGGCCCATGTGTACTTTTTTAAAGACGAATTCACTCGTGTTTCAACCTAACGCTACCCACTACAGGCCCAAGCATGCAGACACCGCCCCCAGCCCACCCCCTGCACTCAGCTGCCAAATGAGCAGAAATGGGCAGAACATCCTCCCCAGTGGGTGGCTGCCCCTTCCACTTGGCCCACCCCGCAAATGCAGTGTGTTTAGAATTCGAAAGTATCCAGCCCACCCAGCATCCTGGCTTGCCAGGCTCACCCGCAGGCCTTCCTCGCCACACTTCAGACCAGAACACAGAACTGCAAGCTGAGACCCAGGGACAGTTCACTTCAGTTTCCGAGACACCAAGCACTCCTGAAATATACGCAAAAGTGTATGCATGAGTATGTGTTTCTAAGAAGGTCCTCAAGCTGAAACTTATGCAAGATTCACTAGATTGGGGAAGTGCCCCAAAGAATTTCCCCAAAGCATTACTGCTCGGTTCAAAACATGGTTTCTACTTATTTTCTGGGCTTTTTACACCTGCTTCGTGAGAATGCTCCCGTGGCCAGCTCGAGAGGGAAATGAACAATGACTTTTATCTTGACTGAATGATCAAGGAGGCACAGTGCCAGGCACTCTCTACGCTGGAGACACCTTTCCAGAAGAAAAGTGACAGCAGCTTTCCAAGTGCACTCTTCAGCCAGCACACGCCCTCTCCTGTTAGTGGCTTAAGGGAATAATCAGAAAGAAAGATAAAATCTTGCCCTTTGGGACAACATGGATGGGCCTTACTGGGAGTAACCAAAGTAAAGCAAATTAGAGGGAGGAAGCCGCCAGTTAAGATTTCACTTTCAACACACAAAACAAAAATGCTCAGACTCTGACAACAGAATTCTGGGCCGGAGGCAGGTCAGGCAGAGTGGCGACTGGCTGGTGCTGGGGAACTCTGGGTGGTAGGGGCGTCGCACGAGCAGGTGCTGAGTGGGACAGTCCACCTGACACCTACAGTGCTGTAGACAAACACGAGATTAAAAAAAAACAACAAAAAAACAGGCGCTATAGCAGCAGCAACTGTGTGAGCATGTGTCCTTAGCGTTTGCTGCTACTTTTCTTTCAACAGATATTAGTTGAAAGGCAGCTACATTCAGGGCAGTAAATGCAGATTTCTCTTTAAAAACCAGAAAATCAGGCCCTCCCTGGTGGCGCAAAGGGTTAAGCACAGCACTAAGAAGCTAAGGCCACTTCCCCATGAGTTCCATCCCCACCGATCCCTGCCACCTAACACTGCCACCAGATCCCTGGGATCCCTGCCGCCAGCCTGCTCCAGAGGTGACCCACAGAGCACGGCAGACCTCTCCTGACCTGCCCACTGCTCCCCTAGAAGTGTACTTCGTCAAGTCGACCTGTTCTGCTCCCCACTCTGTCTCTGGGGAATCCTGTCACTGCCCCTACACCTCTGGCCTGTGACCCAGTTCTATATGTACAAATAAATAAGTCTTAAAAAAAAAAAAAAAACAGAAAATCAGCAACATGGAGTTAACATGTAAGATGACACAAAGAGAATGGACTGGCAGCACAGATGTGGCAACTACAGCCATATGATCAGTTTTAATGATACAGGTGTATCAGGGTGTTTAAGGGAGAAAATAAAATTACACACAATGTTCAATTGCAAAATAGAGACTGTTTACATGGGGGGGCGGGGGGCTCAGAGAGTTTGTCTTTCTAGGGTGCTTTCCACATTTTCCCTGTAAGTTCATGTGCTTCAGGGGTCTGGGGATCAAACCCAAAACTAAAAACTACTCTCTATGATGGTCTTGCTATCAAGGTCTACAACTCTGGCTTCACTAGTATCAGGCCCAGGGGCACTAATCAAAAAAGAAAAATGAAAAAAAAAATTAAACTATCCTCATACAACATTACAAGTGAATCTGTAACATTCACATGTAATGTGAATGTAACAAGATCCATTCCTCTGCCCAGTTCCGGAAATTTTATTAAAGAATGTCAAGTTAATGAAAAACCATTACTAATGCTCTCTCTCTGAAGGTTTTTAAAGAGGAGCTCCAGCACTTTCTTTCAGCTGGGAAAAGCCCTTAGACCCATCACAACCCACCAGATGCACTGTCTATTCCCATAAAGAACCTTCTGTGTGCAAGTTACTGTGATTGGCACAGCACGAGAAATATTAGAGCAGAATTAAGATGGGCTTAAAATAGCCAACATCGATAATGCCCTCTTCCAAAGGGGCTGGGAAAAGCAGCGTAAGTGGAAAATCCATGGTTGGAGGCCAGGATTTAAATTTACCTGGAGTACATCAGAGCATCATCAGGTCTGCCTCTCCCAGCTGCCCCTCTAGAGTCCTGCTGGGCTAGAAACCAGGTCTTCAAGCCTGCACCCATAGAGCCTGGATGCTGGCTGTGTGCAGAACCCGGGCGGCAGGTGATGCCAGAGACACCTGAAGCCCTGCAGGTCTCTGGGTGGAAAAGGAGGTGAGCCGCCACACCGGAGCCCCGAGTCTAGAACTGGCTCAGATTCAGAAGCTCCTGAGGAACCTTTCTATCCAGAGTTCAGTAGGTTTCAAACAGAGTCAAAATAACACGCACAATGTGACCACTCCAGGCTGCCAGCCACTGAACCCTGCCCACACGCAGTCCTGGACAGCAAAAATGTGACACTGTCCTCAGTAACCCACGTAAATAATTAGCAAAATCCTTCTCCGAGCAATGCTCTACACTAGAGCATGCCCTAAGTGGAATTCCCATAAAAGGCAGTAGTGTGAAGGGTTAATTCGGTATACACTATGAAGTACTACTTTTTAAACCACTGTAAAAGTGTTTTCATTACTTAAAATATCCCACTTGAGTAAATTTGGTTTCACTCTATTTGTCAAATATTTACTTTTCTTGAGGTAACCACTACATTCCAAAAGTTTTGCCAACATAAGTATTTTTTTTGTTATTTTTTGTGCTTTTTTTTTATGTAACCTGGTAAAACACAAGTGCGTCATTGGCAAACACTCCAAGTACTACTATTGAAAAAGGATTGGCCCAACGAGGCCACATCCATACACACCTCCAGGGTCTGGTCCATTCATCATTCTTTTATCCGAAGTTTGGTAAGAGCATAAAAAATGCACACAAGGAGGACCTCCCTGGAGCCTAGGGGCTGAGTCTCAGAAATACCACCAAGAATGCCTGAGCAAAGGCCTGCCCAGGGAGTGACCACACCTCTCCTGTCTCCCCTGCTTCTCCCCTCAGTGGATTTCAGTAGATCTGTTTGTCCTGATCCCCACTCTGTCTCTGGTGAATCCTCTCACCACCCCCCATCTCTGGCCTACCCCCCAGTTCTTGTGTGCATAAAGAAAAAAATATGCACACAAGAATAAAGGCACACTGGAGAAAACACACATTAGGCTCTCTGAGGGGGTAAAGTATGTTTTTTAAAGACTTTTACTATTTAAAGTTATACTGGGTTTGGGGAGAGGGGCACAAAGCTGTCCTGCAAAACTGTAAACCCAAAATTAAGTTTATTTTAAATCTTATGTCTCCTAAGAGTTTACTTCCATACTTGCACCTTTTTCCGTCAGGAACTAGATTCTCTGCAGGTAGATCCAGGGTAATGAATCAAAGTCTATTGCTTATTTCAATCGGGCAAGATCAAGAATTTGGATACAAAGCTAAATATAAGTGAGTTACAGGTACAAAATGAGAGGATTCGCGTTTTTGCAGAGACTTACTCTCCCACTCCCAAAGGGGAGACTCAGAACTGAGAAACTGTAGCTTGGTGATCTGCAAGGCAAAGCCACTTCATTTCCCCCCTTCATTTCTCACCCTAATTTGTCACCCGGTAGAACACTTGGGAAGATCAGACAAACTGACAGAGATGAGACCGC